GTACGTGAGGTTTGGATCTTGTAAAATGGCATTCCAATATGATCCTTGCCAATTCCTGTTTAGCCGAGTGTAGCTTGCAGGAGAGTGGGAAAGGCCGCTGTCAGGTAACTCAGTTTTGTTTTGAAGTTGCGACTTTAACCCAGCGCTCCGGCTTTAATCGACAGCTGACAGGTTCCCTGAGCTGTCCAAAGTAGACAGGGCATGAGCATGGAGTGAAGGAAAACCATTGGGATAACAGTGAAACTCAATACCTGCTGGCCTGCTTACGGGAAGGGCTTGTGTAGACAGATTTCGCTGCTTCATTAGTTATTCCCAACTGCAAGGGGCATTTGCAGCTGGCTCCTTGGTTCTGCTTGGATCTTCCTGGATAGATTTGCTGCCTCCAATTCTTTTTTGCAATACAAACCCAAGGGGCTTGGCATTATTGAATGGTGAAAGAGAAACCATTCATAACCCTGGTAGAAGAGGCACCGACTTGAGCAACAGGAAATAGTTAATTACTTAGCAGTAAAAACCAGGTTACATTAACACCTAATTATTTATCTACATTAGCACTGGGAGAGAAACACTGCTATCTTGTAGGAGATACAAGGCTAAATAGATCATTGTCATACAGTCATGCAGCATGTAAACAGACCCTTTGGTCCAACCAGTCCATACCGACCATAATCCCAAACTAAATTCGTCCCACCTGTCTGCACTTGGCCCGTATCCTTCAAAACATTTCTCATTCATGTACTTATCCAAATGTCTTTTAAATGCTGTAACTGTACCCACATGAACCACTTCCTCTGGAAGTTCATTCCACACACGAAGCACACTTTGTGTAAAAAAAAAATTGCCCCTCACTTTAAAAATATGCCCCCTAGTCTTGAAATCCCCTACCCCAGGGAAAAGATGCCTGCCATTCATCTTATCTATACCCTTCATTATTTTATAAATGTCTACAAGGTCATGTCTCAACCTCCTACGCTCCAGTGAAAAAAGTCCTAGCCTATTTAGCCTCTCCTTATAATTCAGACCCCCCATTCCTGGCAGCATCCTGGTAAATCTCTCCTGAACACTCTCCTGCTTAATAAAATCCTTCCTATAACAGGGAGACCAGATCTGAACTAGCACACCGTTATAGCGTAACTACAGACTCCAGAGAAACAGACAAGTAGCTGGTTAGGTTTTCCTGAAGGCAGTCATATATATGAGGGGATGGGGCTGCACAGTGTTGAGTATTGACCCTGTCATCCTTATACTCTACAGTTTAACAGTCAGCTCAGCTGCCTTGACCTTTTCTTATTGTGATCTTGTCTTCCCTGCTGCCAGTCCATGGGAGCACCATATGTGCCCGAGCATCCTTGCCTTCTGAGACTTTGTTGATGACAGGAGGATGGTACAGGTTTTTAGAGCAATGCACCCTTTGCTGTGGGCCAGGCAGGCATGTGTTGCCAGTGAGTGCCAAGGTGCCGACTGCTAGACAGCCTTTATCGCTCTGTGGAGCACTGTGTGGTGCAGGGGATGAAAGCAGAGAATTGTGAGTGTCAGATCTAGAGAGAATTACGTGCATCGTTGCAGGTGATGGTGAGGGATTGGTGTGGGATGTTAATAGGATGAGGGTGGATTTTGGCTGTTGGCAGGTGGGGGAATCAGGAAGTGACTGGAGAGAGAAAGGGGAGTGAGTGGTGTTGTATATTGCTTTGGTCTGATTGTTGTGCAGGATAGTGCCAGGGGAGTTGGCCCCTGAAAGTGGGACGTTACGCACTTTCGCTGCCTTGAACCCACACGGCACTCTGTCCAATTTGAGGGAGCACTCAATTTCTCGGCCATATCCCATCCACGCCTGCTTGGTTTGAGAGGCTTGCCTCTTCCTCCAGTCTGCAAAAAAGTAACATCTCACTTCAGTCCCTCAGATCCTGCCGTAGGCTATACAGGGAAGAGTTAGAGAGGTCCTGAGGGATCGGGGTACAGGCTTTCCTTTGTTCTTTTTAATTCCACTGGTCTTGGATCTTTTGAGAGATGTCACTAGTTTCAGTGTGCAACAGGTTATATTCACATTGTTTAAAAATGTCCACTCCGTGCTTGATCTGTGGCTGGGAACCCTTACCACAGATGTGCCTATTTTCTTGCTGAATCCACCCTCAGGCTTAACCAAGAGCATCATTAGTAAACAGACTCACAGAATCAAACACAGAACAGTTGAACACTGTAGAAGCCTCAGGGATCAGTGGATCATTCTGAACTTTATATGGCATAGCATGGTTGGAGAGCCATCATAGATACACCTCCACGGACACATGGGTTCTCAACCTGTTAAAAGGGGAGGTAGTGACATACCAGTAACGTCGCTGTACAAGTAATTCAAAACCCCAGGTTAACATTGCGTAGAAATGGGTTCGAATCCAACTATAGCCAGTGGTGAAATCTGAATTCAATAAACACGTGGAATTGAAAGCTAGCTTAATGGTGACTGTGCAGCCACTGTCAGTTGTTCGGAAAGACTCACCTGCTTCACTAATGTCCTTTAGAAAAGGAAATCTTCTGGCTTACATGTGACTCCAGATCTACTGCAATGAGGCACTGACTGTTAGCTGTCCTCTGTGCAATTAGGGATTGGCAATAATTGCTGACCTAGCCAGTGATGCCCACATCCTACGAATTAATAATAAAAGGGGTCCGTTAGATTAAAATTCAGTCCGGTCTACTTGATTTTCTGTTTCGTGTACAAACAGACATCTTGATCTATGGTGAAACATCAGTGTTAAAGATAAGGCTGAAGCATTTGCAGCAAAGTTTAGCCAGAAGTGTCGAGTGGATGATCCATCTCGGCCTCCTCCAGTGGTCCCCAGCATTACAGATCTTCAGCCAATTCGATTCACTCCACGTGATATCAAGAAATGGTTGGAAACACAGAATACTGCAATGGCTATGGGCCCTGACAACATTGTGGCCATATTACTGGAGAGTTGTGCTCCAGAACTTGTTGTTTCCCTAGCCAAATTCTTCTAGTACAGTTAAAACACTGGCATCTACCCAATAATGACGAAAACTGCCCAGATACATCCTGTACATAAAAAGAACAGGACAAACCCAGCTCAGCCAGTTAGTGCCTATTCAGTCTACTCCTGATCATCAGTAAAGTGATGGAAGGTGTCACCAATAGGGCTATCAAGCAGCACCTCCTCAGAAATAACCTGCTCAGTGACCAGTTTGGGTTCCACCAGGGTCACTCAGTTCCTGACCTCAGCCTTGGTTCAAACATGGACAAAAGAGCTGAATTCCAGAGGTGAGGTGAGAGTGATAGCTCTTGACATCAAGGCTGCATTCAACTGAGTGTGGCATCAAGGAGCCCTGGCAAAACTGGAATCAATGGGTATCAGGGGGCAAACACTCCAGTGATTAGAGTCATACCTGACATATAGGAAGATGGTCGTGGTTGTGGGAGGTCAATCATCTCAGCTCCAGGCCATCTCTGCAGGAGTTCCTCAGGGTAGTGTCCTAGGCCCAACCATCTTCAGCTGCTTCATCAATGACCTGCCCTTCATCACAAGGTCAGAAGTGGGGATGTTCGCCAATAATTGCACAACGTTCAGCACCATTCATGACTCCTCAGATACTGAAGCAGTCCATGTTCAAATGTGACAAGATCTGGACAATATCCAGGCTTGGTCTGACATGTGGCAAGTAACATTAGTGCCACACAAATGCCAGGCAATGACCATCTCCAATAAGAGACAATCTAACCATCATCCCTTGACATTCAATAGTGTTATCATCACTGAATCCACTACTGTCAACATCCTTAGGGTTATCATCGACCAGAAATTCAATTAGATTCGCCACATAATCGCAATAAGAGGTCAGAGGCTAGGAATACTGCAGCGAGTAATTTACCTCCTGACTCCCCAAAGCCTGTCCATCATCTACAAGGCACAAGTCAGGAGTGTGATGGAATACTTCCCACTTGCCTGGAAGGATACAGCCCCAACAACACTCAAGAAGCTTGACACCATCCACGGCAAAGCAGCCCGTTTGATTGGCACTACATCCACAAGCATCCACTCCCTCCACCACTGATGCTCAGTAACAGCAGTGTGTACTATCTACAAGATTCACTGCAGAAATTCACCAAAGATCCTCAGACAGCACCTTCTAAACCCACAATCACTTCCATCGAGAAGAACAAGGATCGCATATACATGGGAACACCGCCACCTACAAGTTCCCCTCCAAGCCACTCACCATCCTGACTTGGAAATGTATTGCTGTTCCTTCACTGTTGTTGTGTCAAAATCCTGGAACTCCCCTCCTGAATGGTATCGCGGGTCAACCCACAGCATGTGAACTGCAGCTTCCCACCACCTTCTCAAGGGCAGCTAGGGACGGGCAATAAATGCTGCCCAGCCAGCAGCGCCCGTGTTTCATGAGTGAATTTAAAAAAAAAACAAACAGCTAATATAGTGGCAATTTGATTTGGAATTTGCAGTGTTAACTTTACACATGCGAACTGCAGATGTGGTTTATAAATCTCGAGAGGGGAAAAAATATGCACTGTAATAAAATCAGCAATTAAAACAAAACGTGGCAGAAATCCACGACAGGTTCAGCATGACTGCAAATAGAAATGGACAGGTTGAAGACCTGTATTAAAATGAGACTCAGCTTGAAACAATTAACATTAAACTTGCCTGTCCCTGTACAGGTACCGACTGACCTGTTGTGTATTTATTTGTTTGAATTCTCTGAAATACGAATGCATGCTAACCAGTCAGAGCTAACAGTGACAAACAAAAGATTGTAATATTGAGTTGTGTGTATATTTTGATTTTAATTCTGCTCCATTCTAACAAACGAGGAGGGTAAAATCTTTCTCGTCAATTGTGTTCTGTGAAGATTAAAAAAAAAAATTCTTAATTGTATAATACCTCGACACCTTGTTGGGAAGCCCTGAAATACTTCTTAAACTGCTAATTACATTTGTAAGTGTAGTTGCAGTTATTTTGTGGGTGAAGATGGCAGCGCAGCAAGATCCCACAAATTTAACAAATGGTCAGTTAAGTTGGTGGCTAAGGGACAAATATTGACGAGCACCCCAGGGATAACTCCTGTTAGCTGTTCAAAAATGTCATGCCATGTCATGTCATGCTCGATCTTCCGATCGAGAAGGCAGATTGAATCTGTGTTTAATAATTTAACTGAAAGATGGCATCTCTGCCAGTGCAGCATGCCCTCAGTACTCTACCTGTAGTTGCTACAATAAGCTGCCCATTAGCCTGACCCTCATTCCCATTAGTTTCAATAATAGGGGATCATTCAGCAAATCTCCTCAAAGCTGTGGTGGCAGATGATGGATAAATAAGTCTGAGAACTTGGAAGAGAGACCATGCTGATTGCCCTGGCTGGGAGACCCACATCCTTACGCTGACTATTGTAGGAGGCAGTTGGCATCCAGGCTTCCCGTCTCTAAGCCTTCCACCACATGGTGAATCTCATTCTAGTTCTGGCTTCTGCTCTCTACAGTGATTTACCTCAAGTAAACATTAGTGCTTTTGAAAATTTGTGGACAAGTGCCAGCTTAAAGGTATTTCTTCACTTGTGTGTAACAATGTTAACGATTCCCCTTCTTGTATTTCTCACAACTGATCCATCAATGTTTTACAGATGAGCAGGAAGCTGTACAGAAGAGAACTTTCACGAAATGGATCAATTCTCATTTGGCCAAGGTAAGGAGCTTTCGATTGGCCTGTTTATATTTCCAGGACAACCTGCAGACCTTGATGGTTGTTTGTCCACAAGGCTGGGGAGGAGGGAAGTGTGCTACAACAGTACCCTGAGGGCATCAGGTATCCTTGGACACTGGTAACCAGTCTCAATGTTTGACTAACTTGCTGTAGTTACCATTCACTGCTTTGACCTGGTTGATGTGTTTGGGCCTAGAAGCTTGGTCTTACTCCTGTTGCCTCATTGATGGATAAATCCTGTATCTGAGTACCAAGGTCTGTTAATAGTGGCAATCACCATACCTCCAAGTTAATAAGCAGAGGAGTTTCACTGTGTGGAGTGTGCATGTCCCCAGTTGGTCTTTCTTGCATGTATGACTCACATAGACCAAGAGGTTGGACTGTCCTATTCCAAGGTGATGAGTTGCAGGTTTGGAATGTACTGTCTCAGGAACTTCATTGGGTTATTGCACTGCATCTCAGAGATACTTCCATTGTGCTTTGGTGTTTGAGGGATTACATTTTGCTGGTCTTAGATGTAGTGCCAATCAAGTGGGCTGCTTTAACCTAGATGGTGTTCCTAAGTGCTATTGGAACTGCATCCAACCAGGCAAGCATTACCATTACAATCCTGACTTATGCCTTGTAGATGATGGATAGATTTTAAGGAGTCAGGAGGTGAGTTACTTGCTCCAGTGTTCCTGGCCTCTGACTTGCTCTTGTATTTACATTATTTATATGCCTAGTCCAGTTCAGTTGTTGGTCATTGGTAACCCTAGAATGTTTGATAGTAGGTGATTCAGCAATAGGGTCACCATTGAATGTCCAGAGGCAACGGTTGGACTCTATCTTGTTGGAGATGGTCATTGCCTGCTGCATGTGTGGTGTGGATGTTACTTGCCTCTTATCAGAAGGACTCTGAATGTTGTCCAGGTCCTTGCTGCATATGAACACGGATTACTTCAGTATTTGAGTTATTCAACATCACTCATTGCAATTGTACGCTAAGCCTGTACTGATAAAGCCGAGGGCTCTGTATGCTTTATTAACCCCTGTCTCCACCTGTTCTGCCACATTCAATGATCTTTGAACGTACACACCATGGACCCTCTGCTCTGCGACCCTGCCTTAGAATTGTACTCACTATTTTATGTGGTCTTTCAATATTCTTCCAAACAAAGTGCATCGCCTCACACTTCTCTCCATTGAACGTCATTTGCCACCTATCTGCCAACTCCACCAACTTGTCAATGTCCTTGCAGAGTTCCACACTGTCCTCTTCACAGTTTACAATTCTAGCATGCATGACCTTGTCCTCATAACCCCTCTTCCAGCTGCCTTCTACCCCAAGTTGGAACTCCCTGATCCAGCTAAAAAGTCCCAATTCCAGCCTCAGGGACAATTGGCTTTAATCCCAGTCATGGCAAAAGGAGGCCCCAAATCGTGGCCTCAGCTAATGATAGCCATAATCCTTCACTGCTCCAGAGAAGGCCCCGATCTCTGCTTAGGGTAAAGATAGCCCTAATCCCAGCCTGGGTTAAAGGATTTCCCTGATCTTGGCTCAGGGTAAAGACAGCCCTAATCCCAGCCTTGGCTAAAGGATTTCCCTGATCTCTGTCTAGGTAAAGAAAGCCCTAATCCCAGTCTGTGATGAAGTAGGCCTCACCTAAAAGCAACTGCCAATCCCGACCAGGGATGAAGGCAACCCTCAGTGACTTCCTTGCTTACTTTGCTAACTGCCTGTTGACCCTCCAATCACAGGCTGCTTCTCTCCCACGTCTCCTGCTGATGGGTTCACAATCAAGTGAGCGCAGGAGAGAAACAGTCTGTGATTGGAGTAGCAGCTTCTCATCCACTTCTTCCATTCTAGTTAGAGTCAAAAAAAAAACTGGAGATGCTGGAATCCAAGGTAGACTGAAAGAACGCAGCAGACCAGGCAGCATCTGGAGGAAAGGAGCAGTCAACGTTTCGAGTATTACCCTTCGTCAGGACTGGATGTGGGGATAGGAGAAGCTGCAGATAAAGAGGGGGAGGGGGAAGAAGGGGTGGAGGTGGAATGGTGGTGTTAGGTAGACACCGGTAGTAGGTACGACCTGGTTGGTCGATGGGAGGGGTGAATCCGGTTGGTGGCTGGAAGGGAAGGTCAGAAGGTGGAATGGAAGGGAATGGAATTTCCTATTCCAGTGAGGTGGGCAACCTTTCTCCGATTGGTTGCCCCATGAGTGGATTTTTCGGGGTGTCATGGGAACATTCGGAGCTAGGGAGCTTTGCCTGCCCTCCCGTTGGGTGTTATCCCAGGCCTTTCTGTGAGAACGTTTTGTGCGGTGTGCTGAAATATCTCTTGCTTTCTCCCCCTCATGGTGGTGGTGGGGGGCGGGGGGTGGGGGGTGAAACAGACACGTGCGACCTTCCGCATAAAGGCCTGCCAGGGGCCAACTGTTAGAGATGCTGTTCATCGAGATGTCAGCAATGGTTAGAAGATCAAGGGCACCACTTTGAGAAGCAAGGACCATGTGAGTGTCGTACCCTGAAAGATTGGTATCTGCAAGGCGATCTGTCCAGGCTAAGGTGCAGCGGATCATGGATAGGGGCCACTTTGAGAAATGGGTTTTGCATTCTGCAGCCCCGGAATGCGTTGACATCTAATTCGCAATCGGCACTTCACCGCTGCTCCGATATCGGTACGGGATTCATGTTTTCCAGCATCCGGTGTGTGTGTGTGTTGCCATGGAAACGGCTGCATCTGCCTGCAGTTACTGTTGCCATGGTGATCACTGCCGCAAAAGAATGCAGCAGCACCAGCACAATTTTAATTCTCAAACGCAGCGAGCAGAAGGTGGGCTCCTTGACGTTTATCTGCTGGCGTCATCCACAGCAACCAATTCACCTCCTGTTCTGATGCATCCATCAGGAATGTCTCTTATCCCTCAGCCTTTTGGCACCAACATGGACACACACA